CACCACCACCACCACCACCACCACCACCACCACTACAGCTTTATCAGTGAGACTTCCTCAGCCTTCTCCCCACATACCCTCTCAGGCTGCTATGTTGTGAATTTCTGCATTGAGGTTTACTAAATTACTCTCAAGTTCATCTGTGGGTATCTTTAAAACTTTTTTTTTTTTTTTTTGCGGTACGCGGGCCTCTCACTGCTGTGGCCTCTCCCGTTGCGGAGCACAGGCTCCGAATGCGCAGGCTCAGCGGCCATGGCTCACGGGCCCAGCCGCTCCGCAGCATGTGGGATCTTCCCGGACCGGGGCATGAACCTGTGTCCCCTGCATCGGCAGGCAGACTCTCAACCACTGTGCCACCAGGGAAGCCCGACCTTGTGCAAATTATTTAAACTCAGTTTCCTCATCTATAAGGTGGGGATAATGGTGCATATCTGAAAGCCTCATGGTGGTGCTTAAATGAGATAATGCAGATAAAGTTCTGAGCAATGAGCACCGACACACTGTGATCAGAAAACATAGCTACCAGGAATTCCCTGGCGGTCCAGTGGTTAGGACTCCACTCTTTCACTGCCGAGGGTGTGAGTTCAATCCCTGGTTGGGGAACTAAGATCCACCCAGCACCGCCAAAAAAAAAAAAAAAAAAAAAAAACCATAGCTACCATTAACATCTACTACCCAGCACCAAGATGCAATCACTGATGGAAGTTTGATAAGTTCCTTGCAGGTTTTGTGTCTACTTTCACAAATGGGGATCATGTCGAATATAATAGTTAAGCATTCTGATTTTTCCACTTAGCATTAAAACAAAAATATACGTATGGAGCCTCTTAACACTTTCAATAGCCCATCCACATATATTTGAACCTTTCCCTTTGATCCTTGACCTCTCCCTCCCACACTTTGGTGCTCACTGGCCCCTGCCCACGACCTCCCAGCCTGAGCGCAGCCCCTCTCCCCTCAGGGCAGTACATCTGCACAGCTCAGGGCACATGGAAGAATGAGCTGGCAGGAGAGAAGATGCCTCGGTGTTTGCCAGGTGAGTGGAAACCCTCCGCCGTCCTCTGTGGCCCTGGCAGCCCTGGCAGCCCTGCAGGGCCTCAGAGGAGGCATGGCACAGAGAAGGGAGAGACACTCCAGCTTGAAGCTGAAGGTAGACAGGGCGTGAGGGAGGAATCAGGAAAAAGGCGAGGAGACGCCCTAGCAGAAGGGCAGAGGGACCCAGAGAGCTGGACCTGCCCTGACATTCCTGGACTTTTCACTGAGCAGGTGGGAGATGAGGAATAAAAAAAAAAGAGCAAAAGGGACTTCCCTGGCGGTCCAGTGGTTAAGACGCCACGTCCCACTGCAGGGGGCACGGGTCCGCGGCGCGGCCAAAAAAAGAAAAAGGAAAAAAAGAGCGAGAAAAGCCCCAGGAAGAATAAACAAGAACGAGGAGAAGAGGCTGACCGTACAACAAAGACGGAAGGGAGGGAGGAGAGAGAAGAAAGGGCCCTGAGCTAAAAAGAGGGGGCGAAGGGGAGGGAACAGACCGCGGTGCCGGGCGCTGACTTCTTCCCCCTCCCCCCCCGCCCCCTCCCCCCCCCCCCGCCCGCCCCCTCCTCTCCCCCACCCGCCCCCTTCTCCTCCCCAGTGTGCGGGAAACCCGTCAACCCTGTGGAGCAGAAGCAGCGCATCGTTGGAGGCCAGAAGGCAAAGCTGGGCAACTTCCCCTGGCAGGCCTTCACCAACATCCACGGCCGAGGGGGCGGCGCGCTGCTGGGCGACCGCTGGATCCTCACGGCCGCGCACACGCTCTACCCCAAGGAGTACGAAGCGCAGGGCAACGCCACCGTGGACGTGTTCCTGGGCCACGTCAACGTGGAAGAGATCACCAAGCTGGCCAACCACCCCGTCCGCAGGGTCAGCATCCACCCCGACTACCGCCAGGAAGAGTCCCACAACTTCGAGGGGGACATCGCCCTCCTGGAGCTGGAAAACAGTGTCACCCTGGGCCCCAACCTCCTCCCCATCTGCCTCCCCGACAACGAGACCTTCTATGACCAGGGTCTCATGGGCTATGTCAGTGGCTTTGGGATCACGGAGGAGAGACTTTCTCACAACCTCAGGTTTGTCCGTCTGCCCGTAGCTAAGCGAGAGGATTGTGAGAGATGGCTCCGGAAAAAAAATAGGAAAGATGTGTTTTCTGAAAACATGTTCTGCTCTGGGGACCCGACTCTAAAGCAAGATGCCTGTCAGGGGGATAGCGGAGGGGTCTTTGCAGTGAGGGATGAGAAGAATGATCGCTGGGTGGCGACAGGCATCATATCCTGGGGCATCGGCTGCAGCAGGGGGTACGGGTTCTACACGAAACTGCTCAACTACGTTGACTGGATCAAGAAAGAGATGGAGGAGGAGGACTGAGCCCGGAATTCACTAGGTCAGAATCCAAAGAGCAGGGTGTAAAAAAAAAAAAAAAGATTATCTAACCGGCTGTTGACAACCACTAAGAATCCATATTAAAATCACTGATGCAGAAAGACACTGTGTGAAATAAATTCTCTTTTCTATAATCCCATCCACACTCTTCACCTAAAATAACCCAAAGGTCACCTTTATTCCCCGCACCCCCGCCCCAGGGTTGCAGAAGATGTATTCCACAATCTCTAGTTATCATTGTTCTCTTCCATTTTTTTGTTTTGTTTTGTTTTTCTTTTTGTTTTTGCGGTACGCGGGCCTCTCACTGTCGTGGCCTCTCCCGTTGCGGAGCACAGGCTCCAGACGCGCAGGCTCAGCGGCCATGGCTCACGGGCCCAGCCGCTCCGCGGCATGTGGGATCTTCCCGGACCGGCACACGAACCCATGTCCCCTGAATCGGCAGGTGGACTCTCAACCACTGCGCCACCAGGGAAGCCCCTCTTCCATTTTTATAACCATCGGGTAATTGAATAGAACTCCTTCCAAATAAAATTTTATGAGAAAGCCCATTGTGTAAAATGAATTAAAAGTAATAAATGAATAAATAATAAATGAATGAATAAAACATCAGGATAATTGTAGTTTGCCAAGTTTATTTCAGTTCCTATCATAAGGTGTTTCAAATAAATTCTTGATTATGTTGCATGGAAAATTGAAAAACAAGAAGAACAGCTATGCGGAAAGTAAAAAGTCACATTTTCATAGAATATTTTTCTGATTATAGAAATCATGGTAAAAGCAACTTTTGAGAATCCCAAAATCCCTCAAGCCCCTTCTGGGCTAGTGCTGTTTCAACTAGGGTCCTTCCCATAAAGTCCTCTTGGCTGCATTTTTTTCCCCCAGCATGAGGAGCTGATCCACCAGTCCGTTTTCTTCTGACCAAAGAAATGTGACAATTCACTTGCTTTTTTAAAAGTTAAGTCTTTTCCTGAGTTTCAGGTGAAGCACACATGTTATTCCCAAGCGACTTGCAACGCCGTACGATTGATGTCTTTTAAGCCACAATGAATGATTTTCTAGCCCTTCTAGGCCTTGGTGATGAGCCTTCCCAGCTCCAAAGTCTCTGATGATGATTCACTTAAAACCCCTCCCTGCCCCTCACCCAGGGAAATGATCTGGTACTACAGCTAATGATGCAAAAAAACAGACCCATCCTACTGTCCAAGGCAGCAGCAACAAGCGAATCCTTTCACCAATACCTCGGCCCGTCCGCAAGGGCAGAACCCAAATAGACTAAAGATTCTCTCTGGCAGGGATGGACTTCGTTTTTCTGTTATTTGTCAGATTCCAGGTTGATTTTTTTTCTACTCCTCCAATTATTAAAAAGAAGGAAAATTTCCACATCACAAGCATGTTTCTTAATATTTTTCCAATTTTTTTTTTCTCTAGAGGAATCCCCCTTCTCCTGCCCAAAACTCTGTAGTCCAGGGTACACTGTCAACTCCATGGCACATGTAACGACAGGCAGGTAGGGGAAGGTAGTTGGCAGGTGTCGAGTTAAGGAATAAATAAATGGCTTTATGCTGCTGGGTTGATTTGACATGATACTTCCAGTAGCTTCCTATTGTTGGGTTTTTTGGGGGGTTTTTTGGCTGCGTTGGGTCTTCATTGCTACACATGGGCTTTCTCTAGTTGTGGCGAGCGGGGGCTACTCTTCGTTGCTGTGCGCGGGCTTCTCATTGCGGTGGCTCCTCTTGTTGCAGAGCACGGGCTCTAGGCATGCGGGTTCAGTAGTTGAGGCACGCGGGCTCAGTAGTTGTGGCTTGCGGGCTCTAGAGCACAGGCTCAGTAGTTGTGGCGCACGGGTTTAGTTGCTCCGCGGCATGTGGGATCTTCCTGGATCAGGGCTCGAACCCGTGTCCCCTGCCTTAGCAGGCAGATTCTTTTTTTTTTTGGCGGTACGCGGGCCTCTCACTGTTGTGGCCTCTCCCGCTGCGGAGCACAGGCTCCGGACGCGCAGGCTCAGCGGCCATGGCTCACGGGCCCAGCCGCTCCGCGGCATGTGGGATCTTCCCGGACCGGGGCACGAACCCATGTCCCCTACATCGGCAGGCGGACTCTCAACCACTGCGCCACCAGGGAAGCCCAGCAGGCAGATTCTTAACCACTGCGCCACCAGGGAAGTCCCATTTGGTTCTTCAGACCTTTTGATTAGAGTTCTGGTTACTTCATCATGTGTTAACCACCAGCCTAATGTCAGCTGTTGAATTTTGCCCTTTTGGTCCATGGAAGATCAAAGTCCTTCCTTCATGGGCCACAAATATACCCCTTTTGGCTTCTGATAAAAACTGTTTTCCTGAAAGCCACGTGTCACATCAAACAGACCAGAGTGTCCCTGAACTCTTAATCTCAGGCCATGGCTTTCGTAAGACACCTTGTTAGGGCAATGGCCACCCTAAGGTAGCTCTTCTGTCCTCAGTTTAAAAAATACTAATCTCTGCATAGAAAACAAACTTATGGTTACTAAAGGGGAAAGCAGGGGGAGGGATAAATTATGAGTTTGGGATTAGCAGATTCCAAACTACTATATATAACATAGATGAAAAACAAGGTGCCACTATATAGCACAGGGAATTATATTCAATATCCTGTAATAAACCCTAATGGAAAAGAATATGAAAAAGAATATATATATATTCACAAAATTGTAAATCAACTATACGTCAATTAAAAAAAAAATACTAGTCTCGGGCTTCCCTGGTGGCGCAGCGGTTGAGAGTCCGCCTGCCGATGCAGGGGACGCGGGTTCGTGCCCCGGTCCGAGAAGATCCCACGTGCCGCGGAGCGGCTGGCCCCGTGAGCCATGGCCGCTGAGCCTGCGCGTCCAGAGCCTGTGCTCCGCAACGGGAGAGGCCACGACAGTGAGAGGCCCGCGTACCGCAAAAAAAAAAAAAAAAAAAAAAAAAAATACTAGTCTCTATTGTCTGGTCCTTTTTCACCACTAATCATTTTGTGGGGATGAGGAGTTGTTTGTTTGCTCACTTGTTTGTTTTTCTGTTCCCTTGGAAAAAAGTAGAAGGGAGTCTTTGGGTCCCTCCTCACCAAGACGAGCTATAACATCTCGGTGCACAGTTCAATCCAGAGAAGACGTTGTTGCCTGACTGACAAATTAGTCAAAACCACCAGGAAAGCAGATGAGCACATGCTGAATTTCTTTTGTTTTTCTTTCTCATTGAGTCATAATACTGTATTATACAAATGCACACGAAAGGAAAAGTCATCTTCAGGAGACATATTGAAACAATTTATACCACAAAATTTTAGACTGAAAGATCTTAAACAGCCAATTCTAACTGTTGTATGTGGATGTCTGAGTGAGGTTCGAGTACATTTGATGAATTTCAAAAACAGAACACGGTACCTTATGTTGACGTTACGCTAATCCACGATACTCAGTAAACGTCAATTGGAAGAGAGGAGAGAAACTGAGTTCCCTGTTTTCATGACAATTAAATATTAGCCGCTAGGGGCCCGAATTTCCAGGACACAACAGCCCATCGCACTCCCTTTCTATGGTGCTGAAGTCTTGATGTGGAATAACCAAGTCAGCGAGAACTGGGTTATAAACATGCTTTATTACCGGTAGATAGTAGACACTGATAATGATAAACTGCAAACAGGTAAAGGGGAACCAAAAATCAAGGGTGTGCCCCACAATGAATTGCAGAGTCAGAACTGGAACAGGAGGCAATCATCAGGAAAGAGGGCTCCCGGTGGAACAGGACAAGATAAGCGTCCCTTCCCACACTGTTGTCCACCGGACAGATTCAGGGGAGAGGACCCAGGGGCTCCAACTACACTGAATGACCGACACAACGACATGATCAAACCCCACCTCCAACCAGGTATCCCAACAATCAAGTTCTAGTTAAATCATACTCCCATGTCTTCTCTCAGTCATGGTGAAATAATGGGATTATCGTGAGGAACAGAAAGCAACAGATGGGTCACAGCCTGTAGAGAGGCTGGTGGGGTCTGTGCGGTTAGCCTCCACCGGGGGCACTATTTTCCTGCATCGTCTTCATGATCCAGTCAACATAGTTCTTGACACGAGTGTAGATCCCATAGGTACCGCACTGGGGGCCCCAGGACACCAAGCCAGCGACATAGAATTTGGTATTCTCCTCATTAGGGACCTGTAGAGCAAAGGCCCCACCGCTGTCCCCTTCACAGCTATCAACACCCTTCTCACCTCCAGCACAGATCATGTTCTCAGTGAAAACAAAGGAATTTATATCTATTCCGGAACTTAGCCCCTTCAGCTCCCGGCACTTTGCTAAGGGAGCAATAGGTAATTTTGCCCCTCTGAGCTTAATAACATGATCTTTGGTATTTGTTCGGCCCCAGCCTGAGATCAGCCCCAGATCTCCCACTGAGGGGTTGTATTCTGAGGAGGTGCCTGGCAGGCAGATAGGGGAGACAGTGGGTCCCATTTTCACCGGGTCTTGCAGCCGCACCAGCGCAATGTCATTGTCAAAATTCTTCCGTGCTTCCGAGGCATCCAGGACCTTCCAACCGGGATGAATAAACACTTTCTCAGCAGTGAGCATCTGGGCCTTTGCCAATTGCGAAGTGACCACTGAGGTAGAGCCAACGTACATCACTGGGTCACGGTTTCCCTCCACGGTGTGGGCAGCTGTCAGCACCCAGTACTCGTCAATGAGAGCCCCGCCGGCCCGGGGGTTCGAGAAGAAGACTTGCCAGGGGAAATTTTCAATCTTTGCCATGGAGCCTCCAAATATCCTCTGCTTTTCTGTAAAGGGTTCACCAGGGACGCCACAGACTAGGGAGGAATAAAAACAAGATGGGAAGGGAGCAGGGCAGATTGCTGGCCCCCTGCAAATCCTACAGCCACTCAAACACCTGCTGGGCCTCAGCGTTCTCAGCACAACATAGCCAAATATTTGGTCAACGATCTCAGCGCCTGACTCATCCTGAACTGACCTAAGGACCAAACATCCCACTTTGCCAGTGCCAAAAGCCGGCTTGTGGGAAAGACTGGTTTAAACGGAGGCCGTGTGCGAATTACTGAACCCAAACGAGCCTCACACCATGGACAGCTTA